CGACGGGTGTTATAAGAGTGGAAGTCTCCATTGCATAAAAAAGAATGCTTATTTTTGAAAACGAATACACAAATTTCAAACACATACAGACCCGTACAGGTGAGAATGTTGTAATTTTTGAAGAGATTACGACATGAGTAGTCACTTTTGACACCAGCTATAAATCTAATATTTTTTTTTGAGAAATAAAAACTTTCTGCGAGTGAGAAGAGTCTCCCCACAAACAAGTTCCATACCTGAGCCGGCCTTCCACTTGTGCATAATATAAATGTATCAGTTGCTGTGGAGTCAATACGTGTTTGAGATTTCTAAACACATAGTAGATCCATGAGACCTTAGAGCACAAAAACTGACAGTGTTCTTTCCAGTCCAAGCGGAAGTCAATGAAAATACCGAGAAATTTACAGTCTTCATGAACGGATAACTGGGTGTTATTCAGGAATATATCTAAATTTTCATGTTCCTTCTTTGTTGGGTAAAACAGTATTAAATTTGTTTTTTCAGCGTTGGAATACAAACGAATTTCATTAAACCAAGCAACTAGTTGCTTCAAGGTAGATTCACAAGTTTCTTTCAAGGTATCGAGATTTTTGTGAGATAAAAGTAAAGAGGTATCATGTCTAGTAGATCGTTAAAATAGTGATTAATAGCAGTTGTAGTTGATTTTTCTCTTCAAAAACCGTGCTGTCTGCTAGTTAAAATGTTTAATTCATTCAAAAAGGCAATGAGTCTTTCTAAGTAACAATATTCGAAAACTTTGGAGAAGCTGCTGGAAATTGTTATATGTTATAGGTTATACAGGTATAACTTTTCCGATTTTGAGATCAGAAAGAAATGTTTTGAACGAGAGATTCACCAAAAATGTTGAAGGCTCAATCACAATGCTAACAATTTTTCTCAGAATGAATATAGGACCTTCATCGGGCCTCAAAAGATTTATTTTTGAGCTTGTTCCTCAATAAAACCAGCAATCCATTCGACAAGTATGGCCTCAAGAAAAAAGTATGAGTTTGAATTTCATGCATTACGTTAGTTATATTAGGAACAGAAAGTTTATTTCTGAGTTCCAGTGGATCATTTTTGAGAAAAAAATTGAAAAGGTTGGATACAATGTCCGGATCTTCCACTCTCTCGTGATTGTGACAAATTGTGATATTTTTTTGTTCAGTTTTACTTTCCAGGCAGTTTTACCAGGATTGTCGGAATTAGTAATATTGTTTTGATAATATAGTTTTTTTCCCGCTCTAAAAACAGAAAATGATGTTTTTTTGATTCTCTATAGACATCTGCTAACTCGTCATACCTATTTTTTAATATGAAGAGGTCTTTAAGATTCGTACTGGATGATTTCACGTCCTTATCAACCCATTTTTTATCATCCGGTTTACAACACACCCGCCGTAACGGAAAACTGACATCGAAATGATAAAAAAGGTTTGAAAGAAATTACTGTAGGCTTAATCAGTATCAACTGAATCAAATAATTCATACCAATTTCGTTTTTCTAGTGACTTCTCAAAAGTAAATATCGCTCCAGAGTCATACATTCGTCTATAAGATGAAAATGAGGTGTTAGGAGGATTCGTTGTTTCTTGGAAAATATCATAGAAAATATATCTATGGTCAGATATATTATTGTCTAAGACAACAGTAGCTCCACCGTTGTCAAAATTAACGAAAATATTATCAATCGTGGATAAACTGTGACCTTGCACTCTCGTAGGCCAATTTACTATATGAAAAAGATTGAAACATGAGAAGACATTACTCACTTTTATAAAAGTTGACGAGTTGACGAGAGAACGGTTAAAATTCAGTAAAATGTATTTTTTGGGATTGTCATTGAAGTGTACCATACACTTCAATGTCTTTTTCTATACAAAACTAAGAAAGTTCAAGATCTTTTACAAAACTTCTAATTTTTTGCCCAAATTCCTACACCACCTATTTGGTGGTCAGATCTACAGAAATAACTAGCTAAACTGAAACCTTGTATGTATATACTGTCAACCGAATCAGGTTTTTCGTTTAACTCCATACGTAATCATCAAAATTTATGAAATTCCTAAATCGAAGACCCGTAACGTCCATTTCACTATTGAATTGATCCTTGAAAATACTACAAATTCAAATATTCCCAAAATATATAATTTTAATCACTTTACTCATAAAGAAACTAGAACATGACTGATAGGAAGTGTACTCACTAACGTGTACTCACCGCCAAGAGTTATACAAAATAGTCTTTGACGAAACTCGCTAAGCCTGATCTGATATTTCAGACATATATATTTCCCATATACGGAAAATATATTTCTGATATAGGGAAAAAATAATCTAGAACGTAATTTTGTTATTAAAACTAATTATAACTTGCCAACAGTGCAATTTAAAGTAAGGATTTTTATGAGGAATCGATAGACACTCGCCAAGATGATATTTATTTCAAAATTATATTGATTATTTGAAATTTATACAAATCAGAATCAAACGTTTTATTTACACCAAAACATTTGCTACCATTGTTGAAAGTTGTTGACGGCCAATAGTTGGCCAACACCCAAATAGATTTTATCTGACACTATTAGCGATCTCATCAGTTAGCAAACGGGCTTGCTTCCTAGAATTTTTTTCTGTGAATTTTAAACGATTTGAAGCCTCGTTAGACCCTATAGTATTCAGCTGATACTGAAATCTACTAATAAAGAATGATCATAATGCAAATTTATTAAGAATACAGTGAACACAGTTAAATTATTTTTAATGAAAAACATTGAAGTCAACTGAGAATGAGTACTCATTATGAAAAAAAATTCTTTCAAAACGATCGTGTCACAGAAATTGCGCCTATTACAAAACAGGTTTCCCAATTGGTCTGCATCAACTATGGTTATTAGCCTCGTGTTTTGGTTATGCAACGGTAATAACTCATCAAAGCACTTGAGGAACTTCGTGGAAGTCCCTTCAGCCATATATAGATGAATTCCCGCGAGAAATACATATTAAGTTAATTTTTTTTGCAAAATTAGGGTAATTAAAAGAAATAAAGGCCAGCTTTACTGGCTGGCTCGCCTCTTCAGAAGGCCGACGCCTGATGCCTTCCGAACGATTTCAAGACCTATGGGCCAGGCAAGCCTGGGCAATGGCGGTTACAATTGAGAGACCTCTCAAACGAAGTATCACAATACCCCTCTTATATTAAAAAAAAAAGGTGCCCATTGGCCACACTACAG